ATCAAATACCACCTTTATTGCTGAAAAGCTACTGGAGAATTTAGATTGGGTATGAAGGCCAAATGGGCTCGCTAGCAATTTTTGCCCTCCCTTATCCAGTCTAGACTTTGAGATAGCACGCCTAAGAGAAAGTCTGGCCAGGATAATTGCTTTACTGGTCTGGGGCAGAGAGGAGCAGAGAAGAGACTGATTCCCACAGCTTATAGCTTTTTGATTGATTAACTCTCCCCAATCAAGAAAACAGACCAAAGGCAGTCACCCTCTAACAAGGTAACTCACTCCTCCAAGGAAAGATGGCAGACGTGGGTCAAGAGACCAGCAGTGCTTCTTGAGGGCAGTCCCTGCCCCTGGTCAGGATGAGTGGGCAGTGACTGTCCTTCCCTTATGCAGGCTGCTACTCTGCACATTTAAAATACTAATTGAAAGAGCTTAAAAGATGTATTAATTCTGATGAAAAAATTAAAATCCAACATTTAGTAAGCAAATGTCACTTAATAATAGCTTTTCTTCTTTTAACCAAGTTTCAGCCTTCATTTGAATGTAAGGATGCAGTTATAAATAAATTTTATAAGAGAAAGAAGCACATTTTCTAGCTCTATTAATAGGAATCTGTAATGACTGACTGGCACCAGGAAGACTACTCTCACTTCGTCAGAAAGTAAACACTGCAAAACTTAAAATAACTTAGCTTAACGCGATTTCAATTCACAGATTTTTTTTAACGACTATGAAGTACTTATTGTTGGCTAGAACACTGTACAAAGTATGGAAAGTCACGGTCTCAAAAGACAATGAAAAAAAAATACAGAATTGCCATTGACCCCACAAGAAATACAGGAGTTCAAGGAGCAGGAGCTGTTAGAGGAAACATAAATGTGTGGGGACCTAGAATTTAAGTTACTAACGAAAGATATTTCAATACATCTTTTTTCCCACACACCTCTAATCTTCTACCCTATCTCCTCTGAAAAGATGCAAAATCCAAACTGGAATGCCTATGGACAATTAGTCATTCTAAAAATAGGCTGAACCTCTGGTATGTCACTTCTATGCACCCCTCCCCCAAAGACTTCTGGAATCCCTTCCAAAGCTTCTAGAACCAATTTGAAATCTAGGAATATATGGAAAGGGATTCCTTCACTGTATGAGGGCTATAAAAGGCAATATATAAACATAACCTATTGAGTAAAAACTGTCAAGCAACTACTCATTCAGGGAATTACTCTTTAGGTTTAGTTACCATATTTATATTTTTTCATTCAATAAATATTTAAGCATCTACTATGTGACTAACTATGAAGTAAATAAATAAAGAAGATACCATTTGTCCTAAAAACAAGGCAACTAACTTGCCCAAGGTCAGAAGTCAGAAAGTGGCCTGGTCCAAGTTCTAAAAGTCATCGATTGTTCCAATTATAGAGTTTAGAAAGGGACTGAGCTATCTTAGACCCAGTAGAAGGGGGTAAAGTGGACGCCACATTCAGTCACTTCCACCCCTGGCTTCTAGTTTAGGGTGTGGATATCTCAAAAGAATTTTTTATATTAATTGTCTCCAGTTCTTCCCCTCCTTCTCTGCTGAACCCAGTCTAACTAGACTGTTGATCTCACCACTCCACTGAAACAGCTCTTTCGCGGTAGCCAGTGACTTCCACGCTGTTAAATTCAACAGGCAATTCTCAGAATTCATCTTATCTGAATTATCATCAGCATTTAACCCAGCTGGTCACTTCCTCCTCTTAAAAATACTTTCTTCACTTGACTTGAAAGAGACCATCTTTTCTTGGTTTGCCTCCTACTTCACTGGCTATTCTTTCTCCAACCTCTTTGCTGGTTCCTCTTCATCTCCCTGACTCTTCAAGTTTGGCATCTCCATGGCTTAGCTCCCACATCTCTCTTTTCTCTTTTTACATTCACTCCCCTGGTGAACTTACCCAGCCAGTTTCATGGCTTCAATTTACCTTCTAAGTGGCAGGGACTCCCAAATTTATATCTACAGCCCAAACCTTTCTCCTTGTAACTCCAGACTTGTATAACCAACTGCCTATAGGCCAGCTCAACTTGAATACTTAATCGACACCTCAAATTTAGCATGACCTAAACCAAATTCCTGATTTTCCCCCAACCAAACCTGCTTCTATTCCAGGCTTCTCCATCTCAGTAAGTGGCAACTGCAATTAGACAAGCATTTATTCAGTTACTGAGGCCAAAAGCTTTAGAACTATCCTCAACTTTTCTTTTTATTTTCTCTCACATCCCACATTCAATCAATAGAATCCAGTCAGCTCTATGTTCGAATTAAATCCAGAATCTGACCACTTTTCACCACCCAGGTCCACTCTACATTCTACACCACAAATATCCCTCTAAGTAACTAATGACATACATACAGACAATCCTCAGCACAATAAAGTGATCATTTTGAAATTTAAGTCAAATCATGTACCTCTTCTGTTCAACCACCCCCCCGCCGAAGTAGATCCCCAACTTGCTTATAAGTAAAAGCCCAAGTTTTTACAATGGCTTACGAAGCCCTACAATACCTTGCCCTGACCCCCAGGACTCTAATCTCATCTCTTATTACCGTCCTCCTCGTTCACCCTGCCCCAGCCACACTGGCTGCCTTGCTATTCCTCAAACTCTAAGCAAGCTCCCACCTCAAGGCTTTTGCACATACTTTCTGCCCTTCCTGAATACTCTTCCCCCACTTATCAACGTGGCTCCTTCCCTTTCCTTCAGAGGCCTTCTCTGACAATCTGACATTTATCTTTACTTGTTTGGTTGTTTACTGTTTCCCCCTACTAAAATGTGAGTTTCATGAGGCTAGGGGTTTTGTTATACATACCGGCCAACTCCCAGTGCTTAAAAGTTAGTAGGTACCAAACAAACCTCTCTTGAATGAACAACAAAACTAATGAGTGCATAGAGCCAGTCCACCACTCTGAGTAACCTACCTACTTTGTCCTGGTCCCTCTTGTCTGGTTAGTCACCAAAAGACTCGTTGGTTCTGGCCTGAAAATTATACATTAAGGACCTAAGACAGGCTGCATTTGTCTCTACCAAATTTCTGGTCCTCTGACAGTCTTCCAAAAAAGTTAAGATTCAATATAATGTAGAGAACTTATTCCAATCAGTTTCTCTGCTTAGGTAGAATAAAATTTCTTCTAGCATTCTTGCCAATTTCAACACAGCTAGGTAGAGAAACACAGATTAAAACAATTTTCTGAATCCTTCTTTCCAAATTCTATCTTGACATAGAATCTTCTCGATTATCTATGCGACTTTATTTTCTCATCTTTGCCCATATAGTTAAGTGCTCTGGTTGTTCACACTGCCTAATTAACCCTGCAAATTAAATTCCATGAAATTCTAAAGGAAAATTCTATGAGTTCATATGAAAGCTAGATTACATCATTTAAAATTTAAACTACTGCTACTAAATTTCTGTATTCCCTTAAAGGGGCTTAATTTTCCACGAATAACTGGAAAGCATCTTCGAGATCTTTGGATAGGTTATGCATAAAACTCTCTCTAGCTACAGAATTTAATCAATCATGATAAATTCTAACAAATATTCTCAATATTAAAGGCATTCTTAAAAGTCTTCAGAGTTATATTTTCACTAATGATTTTTACATATATTGCATCATCACTTACTTTGAAAATGAGATATATTTTGTCTCTATGAGCAGGAAGTGGCGCCAGGTAAAGATAATTAATACAGACAGTTATTATACAATTGTTTGCATATAAGAATTTGAAATGTGAAATGCTTATACTTTATAACTCTTACAAAAATGAAACTGTTAAAATCGCGGTGCCATGGGAACAGCAATTTTATATTCAATTATATTTAATTGAACTGTTAACTTCCATTTAGTGTTAAGCTCAACAGTTCACACAAATTTATGATAACCTATAGGGGGAAAATGTACATTTCACATCTAGTCAGGTGAAGTGTGACTTAAATGACAATTGTTGGAAAACTTTAATTTTTTTTTTACCCCCATAACTATTCAAAGCATTTTATGAAAGGCTCAATCAGACCGTGTGAAATTAAGTCTTTCACCTCATAATCCTTAAATCAGTGAAACATCATCTTCTCCTTGACAGTGGGATTCAGATAGAGACTGGATATCCACCCTCACTCACCACTCCCAATGTAGAAGAGCAACAAACGGACCTTACAAGTTAGTTTCACGCTAAACAAGGAAAGAAAACGAAACGAAAGGAAAAGAAAAAAAGAGACAACGATCCTGCGCTCCTGGTTGGGCTTCTCTTCCTGTAGCACCCCAAGTGCCCCTACTGCCCAGAAAACCTAACAGCTCCTTCTCTGAGTTCCAGGACCCACATGGTAGAGGCTTCAAGTTCCAACAGATTTCTAAACTGTGATACAAATCCCGATCCAATAGGCTAAACAGATTCCAAAGTACAGTGCAAGAGAAACTTCTGCAACACAGACGCCGACCAAAATGCACTCCTATTTTCCCGGAAAGGCAGAGGAAAGGAGGCAGCTAAAATAAGGGTAAGTGTAACTGGGAAAGTGAAAATTGAGAGACCTGGCTACTCTTTCTCACATTCAGGAGGCAGGAAAGGAAAGGTTGCTGTAAAAGGTCTACCCACACCCTCTTCCTTCTTCCTCCAGCACAGGTGGGTGGAGAGATCTCCCCAGGATGGCAGAGGTTAGAGAAGGTATCACCGCCACCCCAGGCTGGTGGCACCGTCCAGCCTGTCACTGAGACCGAAACTTGAGATGGGGACAGGGCGTGAGGAATGGGGAAGGCAGACAGTTCCTTCTGAGGCTGGGGTCCCGAGGAGACCCTGGTGGACCGGGCAGAGGAGGGCAGCCAGAGCCCAGAATGCCCAAGTCCTGCCCACCAGGCTCCCTCGGAGGAAACGGGGTCAAAGCCCGCCCCACCCCCCTTTCCGCCCCGATCCGCACGTTTCTGCCCCGCAGGCGCCGAGGAGGCGCAGCCCCCGAGCGGGCAGGCGGCCCGGCTCACCTGCTGGACCCCCAGGAACTCGTAGAAGTTGAGCTGCACCTCCTCCACCAAGTCGAACAACTCCAGGTCTCCGCTCTCCCAGGCGCGCGCCGGCCCCGCGGCCGCCAGCAGCAGCAGCAGCAGC